AATCGCTTTCAGTTTATTTTTAGGATGTTGTTAGATTCATAATTTAATTGTTAATTTCTCAGGACTCCGTTTAGATGCAGTAAAACTAATAACATTATTGTAATCTATAGATTATAAGGACCAAATCAATATGCATTTCATTAAAAATCCTTAAAATTTGTGCTGGGCCCATTCTCCAAACAAAAATGGACATGTGTCAATCACGCATGATTCGTTCGTTTGAACACTTAAAAGTATTGATGGTTCATTCATTTGTTCTTGAATGTACCAGAACAACCAATCACAAACAATTGACGGTACCTTTTTAACCCGCGATTTGTATGAATTGTGAATGAGCCAAAAACCGACCGAATCCCGAATGATCTGAATAAACAGGCCAATCGAATAAACAATGCAGACTGCAGAGTATCAGGAGTATTTATTATTTAAGGATTTTTTATTATAATATTGTTACCTAAATTAAAAATTATTTTACGTTTTATTATATTTTTGTTTGTTAAGTCTATGAGTTAAAAATATCATTTCGTAGAGTTTACTAAATATAAAACTTCGAAAGATTTCATGGCAAAAGATTTATTTAATATGATAATTTCCAACCACCTTATATAAGTATAAAATAGGTAAAAGTTTAATTTTCTTGCAAATAAATGTTACAATCCCTATTTTTAGACATGTAAAATAAGATGAAATTGTGTATTGTTATGAATGAAATTTAAAAATAAACAAATTTATTAAATATTTAAAATAATATATATTGAATAAAGTTACCAACGAAAGTCAAATCAAATCAATTGAATCACTTCAGGTTTTTGTGTTTATGCCATCTAGCGTCGATTGTACTTACCACCTTGAAGGTCAATAAGTTTTAGTTCGATAAAATGACTTTATTACCTATAGCATGTAGTATATGGCGCTATTATAAATCTCAAATAGAAAATTTTCCAGAGTACTAGAGCCTGAAATGATCCACTTGAATAATCGATCGGAATATACAATCGATCATTCAAATGGATACGCGTGACAAAATGTACTAGAATGATTCGGTCAATAGAAATGAATGATTGAAACATGTCTAAAGGAAAAATTATGTGCGTTTCACTGTATTAACAAAACTTTTTTTGTTAACTTATGACAATAGTTTTCACTTGATTATTTTGGGTGAGCCTTCTTTACTTTATTAGAATATCTCGATTTAGGTCTTACAGGGAATGGCGTTGGTGGTATGACTATACGCATTGGTTTTTCTGTTAAACTATCGAATATCTCTAGAACTGGATCGTGGTAGCATCGCACTTCTATCGGTTCAGTTGTAATTATTTCATTAATGATGCCGGCTGCTTTCATTATATCATTGACATTTGGGGCCCAAAAATGGTATTTACCGTAAACATGAGCATAGTTTACTACCAAGTTACCAACTAACCTCGCAACGTAATTGATTTTGATAAGCAGGATTGTTTTGGTTCTCATTAATCTCCTCGTTACTCGTTGCCCTGACTGAATATTTGTAAAACCATCCCTTGAAACGTCAAATGATTGAGATGCGTTTTGTAAATAATCCTTTCTCCATCGATCATGGTACGATACTGCTCGTCTGTTAAAGTTATAATCGATATCAAAGAAAATTTCATCTTCGAGCAAACCTTTTTCGGCCCGAAATGACGATATTGTGTTTTCTATTGTTTCAAATATCGAAACTTTTGATTGAATTGTGTTTGTTGTGTTGTTTATATGTTCATTTGTTTTTATAATAGTATATACATATATATACATCAACTACTTCTGCATTTTTTACTTGTAAGCTTCTTTCTATTTCCTTCCATTTGTATTTTTGGTATAAATTACTATAGGGCGTGGGATCTTTCATAAATATATTGTCGGGTACCTTACCAAGTTCTATTTTCAAACCTCTCCTTAAATTATCTTCTGTAATATTAAACAACTTCACTTCCATATCGGTTATTATTTTTCTATCTATACCATAGTAGTGTACAAAAACATCTTCCTTGTTTGAGGCCGTGTTTACAAAGATCTGTACTTTAGTATTACACAAAACAAACTGATAAGCTATTATAACAATGCAAACACGAAACATTTTTGTTCAGAAATACTGTTTCAATAAAAATTTATTGCCAATAGCCAGGTAGGTACTCATTATTGATTTGTAGTAGACTGTCGTTATTATGGGATAGTATGTATAAATCTATACATATAAATAACATTTATGCGTCTGTATGTAAAATCTAAACTAGCTGCAGTTAAGCTCACGGGGTTTTTTGTATGTTTTTGAAACATGAATAACTTTAGAAACATTTTGTCTGTCTGTATGTTTGTTCGGGCTAATCCGCGGTGTAACTAAACCGGTTGTAATGAAATTTCACGAATGGATAGAGAGCAACGCCATCTAGGCTATATATTATCCGAAAACTATGCAATATTTATTTTGTGTAATCGTAAAACATAAAATGAATGGGTTTTCATGATTATCTCAAACATTTTAAGAAATATGAAAATAGTTTCGAACAAAACTTTTATGGTTTACAATTTTACTCAAATCAAGACCCTTTCCATTTTCGGGAGGTAGAGCCATGCTGCAATTATATTAGTAGTATAGCTGTAACACAAATGAGTCGACTCGACCGCGGAAGGAGCATGCACTCACAGAACACCAGCGTAAAAAAGCGTAATAAATATAGTAGGTTAATGCTGCTGGGTTTCCTATGGTGAGTGTAGAAAACCGGAGACCCTTTTTACTGCAAACGAGGCATTCCATCTTAGTCCCCACGGATAACAACGCATCTGAATCTTGATTCGTAATCGAGGATAGATGTACTGCGGCCAATGTTCAGTAGTGTACTTGTGAACTGGACTATAATGATGATGATGATGATGATGACGAAGGTATGTATATAACCTCTTGTGCAAAAGTCGTAAAACATGTGATCCACTTACCACCAGGTGAACTGTGTGCTCGTTTGTCACCCTATCCTATAAAAAAACCCTTTTACCACGCAGGGAAACTTCGAGAATAGCCCTCTCCATACCTCTGAGCGATCTTCAGTTTCCTTATACGACCAGAAGTTAAGAACTACGTCTCAGATCCATATGTTATCACTGACAACAGGTACTGTTTAATGTTTCCTTGTAATCCAAGGTTATAGCTTGCTTAACTTAAGTAGTACCCGGATGACGTTTTTTTTTTTGAAGTTACATTTATAAATTACATACTGATGAAACTTAAATAATATTTTTTGATCTTATTGACAGACAGAAAAGATGAAATGATTATTTGAATAAAAAATCATGTGTGCAATTAGTTTTATTAAAATTTACGTATTTTTAAAAATTACTAAAAAAAAGGGCTTGAAATAATAGATTTTCTCACAAAAGAAGGGAACTTGAAAAAAAAAAGAAAGAAGCAAGACCAGAGACAGGACGCGAACCACGGAACTCCGATATAACGCCCGAACGACATCCCACCTGAGCTATAACGATCGTTAGTGATCTGTTGAAATTTACTTTCTTATATTGTAGCAGTTTTTATTGCCTGAAAACACGGACAAAAGGACATTTTCTAAAAATAAATCCTAGCTAGATCGATTTATTGCTCCCGAAACTCACTGGACACTAAATTTTATGAAAATCGTTGAAGCCGTTTCCGAGATTCCGATTATATATATACAAGAATTGCTCGTTTAAAGGTATAGGATTAATTAACTCTATATTTGTCTTTTTCTATTATCATTTAATGAAGAGAAAGAAATCAAATTTAAACATTACACTTAAATTAACGTATTTTTATGAGTAAGGTCTTATAAGTCTAGAGTCATGTGATTTGGAAGAGGGACGGGCACGTCTTTTCCTAGGCAATCAGGTGAAGGTTTGATATCTACACTACCACTACACGAGAAATAATTCCAACGCTGGCTCAACTTCAACAGGTATAGCCCGTCCCCTTTAGGCTCACCCCGGAAAAAAATTGACTAAGTGTACGTCTAGCGTAGTCTACTCTTTCTTGATATTCGGATAAACTGTCACCGCAGAAATTATTACCAAACTTAGTGATTCTTAAGTAGCTGTTCCAGTTAGATAGGGCCAAGGGCTCGCTGTAAGGTTCACAGTACGTGAAAGCGGTTAACCCGGGTTCGATCCCTACGAACCTACATTCGTTACCAATCGTTAATTATCTTAAATTCGATAATAATCGGCTGTAAAGAAAAACATCGTGACTGAATCTGCAAATTTGAGAAATTAAAAAAAATATATTTCGAAGATATATGTAATTCGCCAAAGTGAATTGGAGTTATTTCGTTGCCCTGCAGCCCTCTCAGGAATGACAGGAGACGTGTGCCCAGCTGTGGGACGTATTTTTTCGGCAGTGCAGGTTCAAAAGGCGGACTTAATGCTAAAAGCATTATCTGCCAGTCAACCTAAGGGTAGTGATAGGTAACAGTACAAAGGCAGAGAACATAGAAAATTACAGAAATAACCATACGAGTATACACATTAAATATCAATAGAATACTATAACTTAGCGTTTATAAAATATGTATAAAAAGTATGCTGGGGCTGCATCTGAATGACAGGGTGAGAATGTGTTGTTTGCAAGATGAGGTTGTGACCAGGATTAGGAAAGGAATCCTTTAGTAGTTTGTTTATATAGAAAGAATGAAGGAGTAAAGAGTTACAAAGCAAATTAATATTGCGGATGTGAGCGGTAGAGTCATTAAGGCACGTGCTATTATTCATTCAATAAAGACTATCGAAGACCACTGCTGAACATACCCAGGGGGGGGGGATCACTCCATAGGTTATACCTGATAAGGGGGATATTTGCCACAGTTGGCACGTTATTTTCTAGTCGTTATTAGGAAAACGCTGTTGCCTTTGTATTTCTCTGTGTCACCTCTTGCGACACCCATGGGACGATATGGGGTACTGGATATTCTTACACGCTACTACACGTACTATTACTCAAACTTACTAATCAAAATACACAGGAACCAGCGAACTACGAGTTCTCCTACAAAGTGAGCGACTACGAGAGCGGAAGTGACTTTAGCCACGCGGGAAACCGGCAGGACGATAAAGCAGAAGGGACGTACTATGTCGTACTTCCTGATGGAACCAAACAGGTACGTTGAAATCATTTCATCAGCTCTACTGCTTTGGAACCCGAGTAAATTCCACCTATCTATTTCTGCAAACACAAATGCGAATACTATTGTATTTTAGTGTAGTAAGACATACTGAAATACAGTATATAAGTTTTCACAGTACGCGAGCAATGTTAAGCGTTGATTTACCACGTGCTCCACGGTGAAGGAAAACATTGTGAGGAAACCTGCATGTCTGAGAAACAATAAAAAATATTTCGAAATCGTGTAGAGTTCTCTCATTTCTCTTACAGCCTGTGTACGTCCCACTACGTAGGACGTATGTAGGCTGTAACTTTAACTTTATAGTTAGACAGTCAGCATTGTAAGAAGTTGTGAATGTTAATTCTTTCTTTACTGGGAACAAGACATTCCATCTTAGTCCTCAGGAGTGACAATGCATCTGCATTATGATTCATCATCGGATGCAGATGTATATGTCTATGGACTACAGCACCCACTTGCCATCAGGTGGAACGTGTGCTCGTTTGTCACCATTTTCTATAAAAAATTGAATTGAAAAACAAACTTACAGTCCACCTGATGGAACGTTGCAGGGATCAGTTGTTCACCTGCAATCAACATAAAGAATTGGCCTCAGTGAGGACTAAGATGAAATACCTCATGGCCTGTTATTATACTGGGTTTCTTCTACATTTCTCTACATCTCTTATACACTTCAGATGTGGATGATAATAACCCCTGGGTAGGATGATCGCTACCAAGCTGATTCTAATTTATTGTGTGTTAATTGTAACATACATGATTGTAAGCTGTTATTTAAAAAAATCACGCTGGGTTTCTTGCTTATTCTTCCCAACATAGAGGTTTTTTTTCCGAATCAGTGGTAAATTAAAAAAAGTGACTTTCAATAAGTATTATTTATAATCTATATTGAATAAAAAAGTTTCTGTTTCTGTTTTTGATCTCTTACTTTTTATCCGTGGACTACAGTAGCTAGTTGCTATAATTTGTCAATAACGAAAGTGTACAAACAAGTATATTTTTTTAAAAATTTGTCCTAAGAAATTAATATACCACGTTTTTCAATTACAATTTCTGATTCTGAGCTATGATCAAAATTACAAGTCCCTAGCCCAACGGGAAGTGTTCGAAATTTGAATTGCAAGATTCCACCCGTAACGGCGGAAAAACTTGAAAGTGACATTATGAAAACGTGGTAAAATTAGCACATTTTCATGGCATGTATTCTGTTCTTTCCAGGTGGTAGAGTACGAGGCTGATGAAGATGGATTCAAGCCAAGGATCTCGGTAATACCAGCCGACACTGCATCTAGCCGCGCAGGTGACGGGTCTTATTGACACAACTCCATAATCCTATAGAAAAGACGACACACTATTGTAAAATTTAATATTTATATAATTTAAAACCGGCAATATGAAATAATGGAATAAAAAATAAATAAATTAGAAATGTGTTTTACTCGTAATTGGTTCTATAATAAAAGAATGTTATTATAATCACAACATTTTCAAATATCGTTTCAAACATTTTAAAAACTTCCCACAGCTGGGCACGGGCCTCCTCTCATTTCTGAGAAGGTTACGTAGATAAGCATGTTTTTACCCAGTTATTTTATTATGATATATGAGATACTTAGTAATCAACCAAAACATATTAAAACAAAGTCTTGACACTGCTCCTGTCTGTCCATCTCAATCAATCATCAAAGTTCAAAAACTTTATTAAACTAAGTTTGTATATATATATTATAAGGAATTTATGGATGATAATACCCCTGGGTAAGGTGATCGCTACCAAGCTATTTCTAATTTGTTATGTGTTATTAATTGTAACATACATGATTGTAAGGTATTATTTAAAAAAAAATCCCCTGCGTTTCTTGCTGGTTCTCCCCAAGACAGCGGTTTTTCTGTACCAGTGGTAAATTAAAAAAAAAAGTGGTTTTCGATAAGTATTATTTATAATGTATATTGAATAAAAAGTTTCTCTTTCTGTACCACCACTATTAATAGAATACTTTAGAAATTATGAGTTACAGTAATAAATAGAGTTCCATTATATTTTGTTTTTTGTAATACAACCAACTTTAAAACATATTTCTTAATATAAATGGACATACTATCCCTTAGTCATCTTGGCTTTAATCATAATACTTTAATGGTATTTGAAATTTACACTCACAATCAATCAAAACATATCAAAAGTAGAATCCATACATTTATGCACAGACAGGCACTATATTTTGCCGGAATTAGTGAAAAGAATTTCGATCGATCTTAAAGTAACTATAAATGCTGAATATACCTACAACTTAGTTTTATATGTACTATAATTATTCAACTGTGTTCTATTTTAACTTATAATACCGGTGAAAACTACTAGAAAATCGCTTTCAGTTTGTTTTTAGGATGTTGTTAGATTCATAATTGTTAATTGTTAATTTCTCAGGACTCCGTTTAGATGCAGTAAAACTAATAACATTATTGTAATCTATAGATTATAAGAACCAAATCAACATGCATTTCATTAAAAATCCTTAAAATTTGTGCTGGGCCCATTCTCCAAACAAAAATAGACATGTGTCAATCACGCATGATTCGTTCGTTTGAGCTGGTACACTTAAAAGTATTGATGGTTCATTCATTTGTTTTTGAATGTACCAGAACAACCAATCACAAACAATTGACGGTACCTTTTTAACCCGCGATTTGTATGAATCGTGAATGAGCCAAAAACCGACCGAATCCCGAATGATCTGAATAACCAGGCCAATCGAATAAACAATGCAGACTGCAGAGTATCAGGAGTATTTATTATTTAAGGATTTTTTATTATAATATTGTTACCTAAATTAAAAATTATTTTACGTTTTATTATATTTATTTGTTAAGTCTATGAGTTAAAAATATTATTTCGTAGAGTTTACTAAGTATAAAACTTCGAAAGATTTCATGGTAAAAGATTTATTTAATATGATAATTTCCAACCACCTTATATAAGTATAAAATAGGTAAAAGTTTAATTTTCTTGCAAATAAATGTTACAATCCCTATTTTTAGACATGTAAAATAAGATGAAATTGTGTATTGTTATGAATGAAGTTTAAAAATAAACAAATTTTTTAAATATTTAAAATAATATATATTGAATAAAGTTACCAATCAAAGTCAAATCAAATCAATTGAATCACTTAAGGTTTTTGTGTTTATGCCATCTAGCGTCGATTATACTTACCACCTTGAAGGTCAATAAGTTTTAATTCGATAAAATGACTTTATTACCTATAGCATGTAGTAGATGGCGCTATTATAAATCTCAAATAGAAAATTTCCGGTTCCCAATGGATCTCACAGACTCACAGAGCACTAGAGCCTGAAATGATCCACTTGAATAATCGATCGGAATATACAATCGATCATTCAAATGGATACGCGTGACAAAATGTACTAGAATGATTCGGTCAATAGAAATGAATGATTGAAACATGTCTAAAGGAAAAATTATGTGCGTTTCACTGTATTAACAAAACTTTTTTGTTAACTTATGACAATAGTTTTCACTTGATTATTTTGGGTGAGCCTTTTTTACTTTATTAGAATATCTCGATTTAGATCTTAGAGGGAATGGCGTTGGTGGTATGACTATACGCATTGGTTTTTCTGTTAAACTATCGAATATCTCTAGAACTGGATCGTGGTAGCATCGCACTTCTATCGGTTCAGTTGTGATTATTTCATTAATGATGCCGGCTGCTTTCATTATATCATTGACATTTGGGGCCCAAAAATGGTATTTACCGTAAACATGAGCATATTTTACTACCAAGTAACCAACTAACCTCGCAACGTAATTGATTTTGATAAGCAGGATTGTTTTGGTTCCCTTTAATCTCGTCGTTACTCGTTGCCCTGACTGAATATTTATAAAACCATCCCTTGAAACGTCAAATGATTGAGATGCGTTTTGTAAATAATCCTTTCTCCATCGATCATGGTACGATACTGCTCGTCTGTTAAAGTTATAATCGATATCAAAGAAAATTTCATCTTCGGGCAAACCTTCTTCGGACCAAAATGAAGATATTGTGTTTTCTATTGTTTCAAATATCGAAACTTTTGATTGAATTGTGTTTGTTGTGTTGTTTATATGTTCATTTGTTTTTATAATAGTATTTACATTTATTACATCAACTACAAGCTTCTTTCTATTTCCTTCCATTTGTATTTTTGGTATAAATTACTATAGGGCGTGGGATCTTTCATAAATATATTGTCTTGTACCTTACCAAGTTCTATTTTCAAACCTCTCCTTAAATTATCTTCTGTAATATTAAACAACTTCACTTCCATATCGGTTATTATTTTTCTATCTATACCATAGTAGTGTACAAAAACATCTTCCTTGTTTGAGGCCGTGTTTACAAAGATCTGTACTTTAGTATTACACAAAACAAACTGATAAGCTATTATAACAATGCAAACACGAAACATTTTTGTTCAGAAATACTGTTTCAATAAAAATTTATTGCCAATAGCCAGGTAGGTACTCATTATTGATTTGTAGTAGACTGTCGTTATTATGGGATAGTATGTATAAATCTATACATATAAATAACATTTATGCGTCTGTATGTAAAATCTAAACTAGCTGCAGTTAAGCTCACGGGGTTTTTTGTATGTTTTTGAAACATGAATAACTTTAGAAACATTTTGTCTGTCTGTATGTTTGTTCGGGCTAATCCGCGGTGTAACTAAACCGGTTGTAATGAAATTTCACGAATGAATAGAGAGCAACGCCATCTAGGCTATATTTTATCCGAAAACTATGCAATATTTATTTTGTGTAATCGTAAAACATAAAATGAATGGGTTTTCATGATTATCTCAAACATTTTAAGAAATATGAAAATAGTTTCGAACAAAACTTTTATGGTTTACAATTTTACTCAAATCAAGACCCCTTCCCTTTTCGGGAGGTAGAGCCATGCTGCAATTATATAAGTAGTATAGCTGTAACACAAATGAGTCGACTCGACCGGGGAAGGAGCATGCTCTCACAGAACACCAGCGTAATAAAGTGTAATAAATATAGTAGCTTAATGCTGCTGGGTTTCCTATGGTGAGTGTAGAAAACCGGAGACCCTTTTAACTGTAAACGAGGCATTCCATCTTAGTCCTCACGGATAACAACGCATCTGAATCTTGATTCGTAATCGAGGATAGATGTACTTTGTAGCATTCCTTGTGGAAGGCCTATGTTGAGTAGTGTACTTGTGAACTGGACTATAATGATGATGATGATGATGATGACGAAGGTATGTATATAACCTCTTGTGTAAAAGTCATAAAACATGTGATCCACTTACCACCAGGTGAACTGTGTGCTCGTTTGTCACCCTATCCTATAAAAAAACCCTTCTATCACGCAGGGAAACTTCGAGAATAGCCCTCTCATACCTCTGAGCGATCTTCAGTTTCCTTATACGGCCAGAAGTTAAGGATTACGTCTCAGATCCATATGTTATCACTGGCAACAGGTACTGTTTAATGTTTCCTTGTAATCCAAGGTTATAGCTTGCTTAACTTAAGTAGTACCCGGATGACCGAGCTTTGCTCGGTTTTTTTTGAAGTTACATTTATAAATTACATACTGATGAAACTTAAATAATATTTTTTGATCTTATTGACAGACAGAAAAGATGAACTGATTATTTGAATAAAAAATCATGTGTGCAATTAGTTTTATTAAAATTTTCGTATTTTTAAAAATTACTAAAAAAAGGGCTTGAAATAATAGATTTTCTCACAAAAGAAGGGAACTTGAAAAAAAAGGAAAGAAGCAAGACCAGAGACAGGACGCGAACCACGGAACTCCGATATCACGCCCGAACGACGTCCCACCTGAGCTATAACGATAATAATAATAATAATTTATTTATTTCTCACCACAAACGACATGGAAAATACATTAGTGTTACATCTCTATTTTAACAATATTTTGTCATTCATGGGAGACTGGTGCCCGTGTAGGTTCAAAGACCCGTATTACAGGTCACCAGGCCCCCCCAAATTTACTTGGCAACAAGTATAATATTATAAGGAGATCACTTATGTTATGGTTAGAAATAATAATATTTAGAGAAAAAAATAAAAAATATAAAATAAAAGATACAAAAACCACGTATTTTGTAGCGTAAGTATGAGAGTTTGTAACTGTTAGCATGTCTGCGTGTATGTCCGTGAATATTTATGAGATAATTTGGAGTAATTGTTCTGTATCTGTGTATGAAAGAGTCTGAAGATATTCCACAAGTCTATTTTTACATGACCATCTGTTGACTTCATAAATAGATAATTTTTGGTGTAATTTATTATATAAATACGGACCCAAAAAAAGTAAAGAATTTCCTAGCAAAAGATGTGAAGAAAGGCACTGACTGAGCTACCAGATGATTACGGCGGCAATGTTCCTTTTGAGTTATTTTTGAAATTGCATGTTGTCTTAAAACTATATGTAGCACAAATAGTTGTCGAACTGTAAGAACTTCGCTAATTCTATACAAATCTAAAGTTGGGTATAAGTAGGGTTTAAAATGGATAACTTTTAAAAGTGATCTTTGCGCACGCTCTAATTCAATAATATGTGTTTTGGCTGAACCACCCCAGACTTCAATTCCGTATGTTAATAAAGATTGACACAAAGCGTAATAGGCCAATATTAGTACTTCTCTATTAGCAACATGTCTTAATTTTTTTAAATATAAAAATCAGTTTACGCACTCTACCACATAGTGTTTTAATATGAGAAAGCTATAACGATTGTTAGTGATCTGTTGAAATTTACTTTCTTATATTGTAGCAGTTTTTATTGCCTGAAAACACTGACAAAAGGACATTTTCTAAAAATAAATCCTAGCTAGATCGATTTATTGCTCCCGAAACTCACTGGACACTAAATTTTATGAAAATCGTTGGAGCCATTTCCGAGATTCCGATTATATATATACAAAAATTACTCGTTTAAAGGTATAGGATTAATTAACTCTATATTTGTCTTTTTCTATTATCATTTAATGAAAAGAAAGAAATCAAATTTAAACATTATACTTAAATTAACGTATTTTTATGAGTAAGGTCTTATAAGTCTAAAGTCATGTGATTTGGAAGAGGGACGGGCACGTCTTTTCCTAGGCAATCAGGTGAAGGTTTGATATCTACACTACCACTACACGAGAAATAATTCCAACGCTGGCTCAACTTCAACAGGTATAGCCCGTCCCCTTTAGGCTCACCCCGGAAAAAAATTGACTAAGTGTATGTCTAGCGTAGTCTACTCTTTCTTGATATTCGGATAAACTGTCACCGCAGAAATTATTACCAAACTTAGTGATTCTTAAGTAGCTGTTCTAGTTAGATAGGGCCAAGGGCTCGCTGTAAGGTTCACAGTACGTGAACGCGGTTAACCCGGCTTCGATCCCTACGAAACTACATTCGTTACCAATCGTTAATTATCTTAAATTCGATAATAATCGGCTGTAAAGAAAAACATCGTGACTGAATCTGCAAATTTGACAAATTAAAAAAAAATATATTTCGAAGATATATGCAATTCGCCAAAGTGAATTGGAGTCATTTCGTTGCCCTGCAGCCCTCTCAGGAATGACAGGAGACGTGTGCCCAGCTGTGAGACGTATTTTTTCGGCAGTGCAGGTTCAAAACGCAGACTTAATGCTAAAAGCATTATCTGCCAGTCAACCTAAGGGTAGTGATAGGTAACAGTACAAAGGCAGAGAACATAGAAAATTACAGAAATAACCATATACACACTAAGTATCAATAGAATACTATACTTAGCGTATATAAAATATGTATAAAAAGTATGCTGGGGCTGAATCTGAATGACAGGGTGAGAATGTGTTGTTTGCAAGATGATGTTGTGACCAGGATTAGGAAAGGAATCCTTCAGTAGTTTGGTTATGTAGAAAGAATGAAGGAGTAAAGAGTGACAAAGCAAATTAATATTGCAGATGTGAGCGGTAGAGTCATTAAGGCACGTCCTAGATGAAATTTTATTGACCAAAGTGGCGAAAACAAGGCGGATTAGAAGTAGGTACTAAACTAAGTACTAAAGGAGGGGAGAGATGTGTGTCAGGATCGTACCAAATGGAAGTCGGTAATCTCTGCCTACCCCTCTAGGTGACGGGCGCGAGAGTTTATTTTATTTTTATTTATTTATTTAAAACTTACACGTAACACTTTAAGCTAAAGGGTACATAGCGTTGACCTAATGCGATGTGGCATTCTCTGCCAGTCAACCCTGGGTGCAAAGTGAAAAAAAATATATATACAAATTACATACATACATATATATTTATATATATATATACATGCTCATAAACTTCGTAAATAAATATCTGTATGAATGTTATATATATATATATATATATATATATATATATATATATATATATATATATATATATATATATATATATATATATATATTAGTAGTTGCCCTCAGGTAATGTTGTCGTACAAGAACTTCAAAGAGTTTTTTATTTGTGGCATTCTTAATATCATTGGGGACGGTGTCTTAAAGTATGTAATACGTACAATGCTGCTGGCCGTATGAGAACGCTTAAAGTCACTCAGCGAGCTATGGAGAGAGCTCGACCAACGAGAACGAGAACCAGACCAACGGATTAATAAGCTAAAGTGGCAATGGGCCGGCCATATAGCTCGAAGAACCGACAACCGATGTGGAACAAATGTTCGAGAGTGGCAGCTTCGTACCGGTAGGCGCCAACGTTAGTTACGTTCACGTAGGACGTCCCCACACTAGATTGAGTGACGACTTGGTAAGACATGCAGAAAATCAATGGATGCAGGTGGCTCAGAACCGTGCTTTGTGTCATTACTTGGGGGAGGCCTATGTTCAGCAGTGGACTTGTGAAGGGCTGTAATAATATTGATGACGTATAAAGCGTAACATCAATTAAGACATAACTCT